CATGACAACCAATCTTATATGGAACATTGGGGGTATTACGGAAGAATGATGTAAGACACAAATGTGAAAGCGGGCATTCAAACGCCCTATGATAAGTATCCCTATCACCCACCTCCAGAGGGTTGGGACCCCCTATGATCCTAACAACCCCACCCTCAATACTTTTCCATATCGGGAAGGGCCTATCGACCCTTCCCAATGTACTGGGACCCCACCTTTCGATCTATACCGGCCGGGAGGTTGTGATTGGCACTACGATCTGGCGTGCTCACCACAATTCACCCTAAATCCTTTTGATGGTGGTTGGGGCGCTCAAGGGTGGCCTTATGAGCACTTCAACAAGCCGTTTCATCTTTTCATGGATAGACCTGGGTTTGACTTTAACAACCCACTCAAGGAAAGAGTGGATAGAAGCGCACAATGAGGGTTCATTCCCTCCCCCTCCCCCCCCCCCCCCCCCCCCCCCCCCCGTTTTCCATGCCTTTACTTTTGCTCGAGACGTGCAAAAGACTAGCCTGGGCAAAAACAATCGATTTTGGCTGAAGTGTACATAAGGAATGTGGTGTGGTAGGATAGAGGCTTGCACATAAGGTGGTCCATTTAGGATGATGATTATTTGTTGTAGTTGGTGATTGTTTGTTGGTCAGCTCTATTTCGTAATGATGATGATGTGATGCTATGATATTATATGTTGTGATGTCCCCCTCTTCTCTCTTGACTTGAAAGTTTTATTCCCCATATCCAAATCTCTTTAATTCAAATTCCCTTAATCTAAACTTATAAATAGCCTCTTGTTAGTTTCTTTTCCTTTTTGTTTATAGCTCTAGTTTTTGTTTTTGTTTACTAACTTTTCTATTGTAAAGTTGTAGTGTTTTCTTTTTGCTCACCTTCTCTTATAGCTCGAAAATCGGAAACAAAAAAGAGATGGGCTAAAGAGCAATTTAAGCTTTGGAAACCTTGGTTAGATCGTAAAATTTGCTCTGTGTTCTAATTCAAGCGACATTTGGTGAGACCATTCCTCTCTTTCTTTTTAATTTTTTGTTGCATAGATTAGCTTAGATTAGGTTGGAGTTGATTGTTCGAGGTTGTATGTATTCGATTCTACGGAATCTGGTGATTGTTGGTATTGATGCCAAGCGATCTTTGTTTATTGATTGGGAATTATATGCTTACATGACTCTTGCTTTGATTTATTCCTACCTGAAAACAAATCGAAAAATTTGAAAAATGAAAAGATTTTCCTTTTTGTTCAAGACAAACCATGTGAATTTTAGCTGTTCTATTTTTATTTTGACCATAATAAAAGTTTACTTGTGTGTTTGAATGCCTATCTTCTTGAGTATTGTAAGATTGCACGCTTCGGGATTGCCATTGGTTGGCTCTAGGATATGTCTATGCTAAGGTAGTTGTGCTAGAGCTCGTAAGGCCCATCGAACCCAAATTCACTTGTTTGTGGTAAGAAGGTGTTTCTCTCATTAGGGGATTTGAAGCCCTAAAGGTAGTTTTTGTAACTCGATGTGAGCTTAATTGTTCAAGCCTCCAACATTTCTTATATTAGTGGCATAGGATCCTTACCAAGGCATGCTAAGATCGAGAACTTGACGTCTAGCTACCTGAGATCGCGACCGAACTGAATCTAGGGATGACAAAGACATTCTTCCTTCGGTGACTATTTTGTTTTCTAGGATTAGCTTTTGTTTTTATTGCTTTTTGTATTTTTATTTGCATTTGCCCTTTTGCTAACCATGTTGAGCCTATCCCTCCATGGTTATAGCACATTACAAACCCCATGACCCTTTTGTTTCATTTTTCACCTACAGAATTGTGAAGCTTGAGCCATGAAAGTTTGTTGTGATTTTTGTTTGAAAAGTTGGAAGGTGATGGTTTGAAATGGAAAGTGAGGTTGTGATTTTTGAAGATTTGTGTTTAATAAAAGCAAGTGCAAATTCAAGGAAAAAAAAGTCGTCCATAATTATAAAAGGCAAGGACAATGAAATAAAAGTTGAAAAGAAAAAAAGAAGAGAAAATGGAGGTGAAAAGAGGAAGAGAAATAAGTTTAAAGTGTTAGGCAAATTGGTTAATGCTTATGGCAATCTTGTTTGAAAGTTCGGAAGAGTTTGATTTTGGAATAAAGGCTTGATCCTCCTTTGCATCACAATTAGGCTTAGCACCAATTTCCAAATTTTTTCCTCACCGGTACCCCCTAGCCAACGTTACAGCACTCTTAATGTCCTTTCGACCTAGGTTAGTTAAGTCATTAGTCAGTGGAGGGAGTTAGATTTCAAGCAAATTGAGAGAGCACGACTTGGTAAGATGTTGGGTTCCCCTTGTTTTTATTGTCTTATCTTTGTTCCGGCTCCTTCGAGTAATCATTAGATGGTACCTCCAAGGGTGGATTTGTATGTAGATGAGAGAACGCGGTAAGATTTTATGCAATGTGGGGGGAGTGGTGAATGTTAGAGTTCTCTACGCTTAGCATGGTTTATCCTTCAATCAACCTTCGACATCCCCTTGTGTGCTCACTTCTACTACATAGAAATCTTGTCATTCATTTGTGCTTATTGTCTTTAAAAGCTTGATTTGATTATGATTTGTGTTGTAATAGTTGCTTCCCTTTACCCTCTTTTCCTTGTCTTTGGTTTGTCTGGAACACATTTTTGGAAGAGTTGTGGGTTAAGCTCTTTGGAAATCCTCACGAGAGCATACTCGTCCTCATTAGCGACTTTGGGGTTTAAATGGCTTGTTGCTCATGCTAAAAGCTACTACGACTTTTTTTTTATTTGCTTGTTTGAATAACATGATCATTCTCATTTATATTCTACTTTTGTTTTGCTTGAGGGTGAGCTAAAGCCTTGCGTGGGGGAGTTTGATAAGTGACATTTATGTCACTCCTAGGGTAGTGTTTAGGCTTATTTTCTCTTATTTCCTTAGGTTTTTCTATCTCAATTTTACTCTTGTGGTTTTCTCGTGTGTTTGTTGAAAGATCTACTTGTTTACACTTGTTTTTAATGATTTTGATTTTTTCTTTCATCATTTCCTCGCTCCTGTAATCTTTGTTGTCCCATTGTAGGTTCCATGGCAATCCCAAGCACTTGGAGGGTTCCTTGGCTGAGCTTAGAAGCATAGATAAAGACAAAGGGCCAAAGAGAAGAGGAGAAGTTAAGAGGGGAAGCTTCAAGAATGGGGTTCGATCAAACTCCTCTGTGCCTGGCTCAACCAAACTCTAAGAAGTTCGATCGAACCTGTAAAAATGAGAAAACTTCCTAAGTTTCTGACACTTTTTTTTTTGGCAATTCGCCCGAAGTTTTCAACAGTTCGGTCGGACCTCATGGTTCGGCCGAACTACTGAGAAGTTCGGTCGAACCCCATGCTTGAAGCTTTCCATCTAACTTCTCCTCTTCTCTTTGCCCCTTGGTCTTCATCTATGCTTCTAAGCTCGGCCAAGGACACTCTAAGTACATGAGATTGCCATGGAACCTACAATGGGACAACAAAGATTACGGGAGCGAGGGAATTATGAAAGAATACATCAAAATCATTAAAAACAAGTGTGAACAAGTAAATCTTTCATCAAACACATGAGAAAGCCACAAGAGTAAAATTGAGATTGAAAAATTTAAGGAAATAAGAGAAAATAAGATCTAAACACTAACCTAATTGCTTTACCCAAACAGATGCGATATCTCGAACTAAAATTACCTTATACCCGAACTAAAAATTTAGGTGCCAAAAATGACTCTAATTGTTTCATCCTAAACTGTAATCGAACTCACAAACCGACACAATGCTTATTATATCAAAAACAATATATAAATTATTGATTTGAGCTAGATCCAGACTACAACACATAATGATGCGAACATGACCCAAACATACTCGACTCGGAATTGATCCGACCCGAACTCGAGCCGATAACCAACCCAAAACATACCCGAAACCTGAATTGACTCGACCCAACCCGAAGGATGTTACCGACCTGAAATGACCCAACCCGAGTGATGTTACTAGTAATGACCCGACCCGAATGACCCGTTCGTGAGGTTTATTTTGTACCTCCAACCCAAAACATGTGATTTTTTTTATTTACAGACATTTTATTTACCATTTATACCACTTCAGAGATGTATTGAATGCTTATGATACATACAGAGGCATGATGGGCCGCTACGGTATGGACCATACCAAGGGGCGAAAACAGTATAAAATCAATAATAACGGTAAAAAATCAACAATAACAATATAATTAAAAAAAAAAACTCTCTTTCCTCTTTCCCTCCTTCTCCATCGAAAATCTCGCTGGAACAATAACAGTATAAAATAAAAAATAATATTATAAAATCAACAATAACAATATATTTATCAATTATAATAGTATAACCAGAAAAAAAAAAAAGAATTTGGTATAGACTACAGGTCGATACATACATTTTATTTACCATCATTTTCTACTATAGTTTCCTTGTGATTCCCTAGGGATCAAGTTCTTACATTGCAATTTCATAATCCACACCTAACACTTGAGGAAAAAAGACATGTTTTTGAAACATGGAGCCATTATACCTTTGGAGGCCCAGGTTTGAAACTTGAGATGAGGTTTCCATTTAGTTTTAGGACACCTAGAAAGTAATGTAATCAAAAGATTTTACCATGTACGAAGAGGAATATCTATCGAGAGGAAACTAACTTTATCGGCTCAGAGTAATGTTCAAATATAAGAAGTATGTGCTAACAAATCAAAACTTGGTTTGGTGCATATTATTTTGAAGGGCATTCCGTTGGCAGATTGTATTACTATTGTTATTATTACTTTTGGTTGGAATTCTTAATCTCATGAGATAATTAAGTGGCGAATCTGACTACCCTAGTGTCCTAAAGCAATTGCTTGTCAATCTTTCCGGTCTATTCCATTCTCCTATCTTTGCTTTTATAATGTTCTAATTAAATTTATGCGTTTATTGCTGAAAAACCTCACTTAACAAATTTGGTTCTGATTCATCTAGGATATGAACAATCAAGTAGTGAAGGAGATTTTGTTGAGCGGCAATATAGCTCAGACTGCTTGTACACTTGTATATTGCGTGGTTGCTCCCCTGCTGGAGGAGATTGTATACAGACGGTTTTTCTTGACCTCTCTTTCGTCCAGTATGGAATGGTATCAGGCAGTAATGATAAGTTCACTCATCTTCAGTGCAGCACATCTTTCTGCTGAGAATTTCATCCAACTAGTTTTGGTGGGAATGGTGCTTGGGTGCTCTTATTGTTGGACTGGAGACTTGAGATCTTCAATTCTTTTGCACTCTATGTATAATGCTCTGACTCTGTTGATAACTGTTTTAGATTAATTCTAACAGAGAATTGAAGTTCCATTTCCACAACTCTTATATGCTTTATCATCATTTTGCATTTTTGCTTGAACACCTCTTTGGACGATTGTTCCTTTCTATTAATTTGTAATGAGCTTAATCAAAGTAAACTTTATTGGTAGACTACTCTTAAGTGTAATTGATTTCCATTTAAGTTCTTTGTTTGCATGATTTACTGTTAATTGGATTCTCTTTAGCTTATTAGTTACACAATGTGGATCTTGGCCCGACTTTTTTTTTTTTTTTTGTTTGTTTGTTTGTAATGTTAGTTGATTAGTTTTAGTTCTCTCTATCATTAACGGCTTTGACCTAGCTTAGACATTACCATTTCTAGTGGTTCGACCATTGACTTGTCCCTACACTTGTATTAGGGTGGTTGAGTGATATAAATTTTGTTTGATCCTAAGAGGTTAGAGTTGGACCTAATTTTCCTACTATAAGGTATTTCCTACACGTGGAAAAGCTACTCCTGCATACGCTACCATTGCCACCACACCTATGTTATATGGCGTACCACCACAACATCTCTCACGTCCCAAGGACGGAGGAGGAGGGGACCTGATAGGGCATGTAACTAACGTGTTTTTTTTTTTTTTTTTTAAATTTATTTTTAAGTTTGATGTTTTTTGTAAGAAAAAAAATAAAAAATAAAATTGAAATCAAATAACAAACCTAACATGAACTGCACGCAATTAACTACTCTAACTTGCTAGCGGGTGTAGAATTTTCAATCTTAGTTTGTGTACTAAATACTTTAGATCTGTGCGTGGATGAGTATTGTATGATTAATCTTATGCCTTTTGTTTTACACTATATTGTCCGTTTAGCCCTTTTCAATTGCTAATCCTATGTAATCTTTAATGATGCTAGTAGTGAGTGAGCTTCCTTGATTGTAACAATATAAACTGATAAAAGTGATAATGGTAATGTTGATGAATTTAGATTCTCCTCATGTTTCATGAAATATTACTTGTCGATTTCTGCTCACTTCCTAGTTCTTTTAAATAGTAGTTAAATTTGTTCATGTTTTGCTCTATAACCAATAATTATTGTATCAATGATAATACTTTCGTAATGGTAATCTTTAGTAATTGGCTAATTTTTTATTTTTTATTTTTTTGTTTATATATATATATATATATATATATATATGTTTCGGGGTTTTCTGATGTCCTGCGGGAGAGTTACAATTCCGAGACTGGAACCGGACGCCTGTACCTGCAAAACAAACGGATGCTCCGGATGATTGGAGATCCGCCTCCGACGGTCAAGTTAGTACTTGATTAAGGAGTAATTAATGCGGAAATTAAAGTGATTGAGTCTCTCTAGGTGAGAGTGTTTAATGTGTGTAATCTGCGTTTTTTTCCTTAATGAGGATTAAGGGAGGTATTTATAACCTCGGGAAACGTGCCAATCTAGGTTTAGGTTAACCTTGGGCTGATTGGGCTTCCCTCGGAAGTTGGGCCTAGGTGACCGGCTTCTCCATTAGGCATGGAGTATGCCACGTGTCATGACATAATAAGTCCAGGGTGGACGAATAGGCGTGTGCCACGTGACAAGCCCTGAGAGGTCCAACTGGGGGACACTTGGCAGGACCTGATTGGCCCACGTGGCGCATTCCGATTGGTGGGAGCAAAATCCCCTAATCATTTGCCCCTCACAAGTGGCACGTGACTGGTCACGTGTTACCTGTGACAAGTGTCGCCCTGTAACAGGCGACGGCCTGCTACAGATGTCACTCGGCGAGAGGCCGAGAGATTCTCCCGCCAAAATTTTGAATTCTGGAAGTGACCCTTCGCCTTCTCACTTCGCCTATATAAAGGAGTGTTGACTTCGGTCATTTTCACACTTGAAAACTTTGTGAGAGAACATTCGGACCCCTGAACTTGCTCTGACATTTTGGACCCTTTCTACCTACCGCCTGCTCTGACAAGCCGATTGCAAAGGATTTTCAGAACTTCATCAATCGTCACTCGTTCAGGTAACCGTCGGTTCTCTTACTCTTTATTTTCTCTTTACTTTATTCTTTTTTGAAATGGCACCACGGAAGCACACGACACGACCTAGGTTAGTGATCAGCCAGTCACCGGGGACGGCTGAATCTAGGACTAGGAGTGCCGCCTGCCCTTTTCTGGACCCATCTTTGCCCTTTATACAAAGTCCGACTGTATATGTGTCTATGCAGAGCATGACGGCCAGAACAAAAAAGACTGTCAGGATCTCAAACTCAGACGGCTCCTCCCACTGGATGCCGATTAGTGAAACATCTGACCAGGCGCCAGATGTGGAAGTGAAACAAAGCGGCTTGAAAGCCGGCAGTTCTGAGGGAGGAGTCAAAGTGACCCCTTCCCATTTTACAGTTGGCAATTCTACATTCTCTCCTGCTCCTTTTAAAGGAGAGGAGGCGGGCCCCTCCGGGAGAGGGGAGGAGTCGTCCTCTTCGGACTCGTCAGAAAACGATTCCGAGTCTAGCTCTTCTGGCCATGCTTCTCTGGACACAGAAGAGAAAAACAGTCGCCTACAAGAGGCGAGGCTTTCTCACGCAGTTGAGAAGGGGGACGATTGGGCGGAGCCATCCGCCTCTGACCGAGAGCAAAATACCCCTTACTACTGCACGGTACCTCGGGGCCGGATCACGGCCATGCAAGAGAAAGTGGAGAGCTTTATCGCAAACCACACAATGGGCCCCGGCTTTTTAGTGTTCGTGTCGGATCCAGAAGACACAGTCGTCTAGCCGGCTGGTACCAGTTATGATGGCGCCTGCTTTGGCTGCTACGAGGCGGCCATCAAGGCTGGGCTGCGCTTCCCACTACCTCCGGCTGTTCAGCGGATCTTGGATGGGTATGAGTTGGGGTTATGGCAGTTAGCCCCGAACTCCTGGGTCAACGTACTCGGCTATGTGGCTGGGTGCGAACTGCACGGGGTGGAGCCGAACTTCGAGGCTTTCGCCCACATGAACTACCTCAGCCGGACCCCTAAGGCAGGCGGTACCGGCTGGTATCAATTGACGAGCCACAGGGGCTACCTCATGACGAGAGGTAAAGCAAACAAATGGAAGGACTGGAGGAGCACCTTCCTTATCATTGAGAGTTCAGACACAGAGCTGAACAAGCGCTTCAACAGGTGGAACAGGAATCCGCCCCTTCTTGCAGGCGGCCGCAGCATGCCGCCTGTTCCCCCCAAGGCTAAGAAAGTGATCCTAGATAAAGGACTCTTCAAAGTAGAGTCGAAGGTGAACTCTACTTCAGGGGTACGAGAGCAAGTACCCCTGTACTGCGTCCCGAGCTTTAAATGGCTCTACGACGAGTACTTTTTGGCCGCCTGTGGCCTCAGCAGTCGGTGCTCAAGAGGTAGCCGGCCTGTCGAATACTCTGTTGTTCCGTGCATTTCTTGTTATGACTTTTATTAACTTTGCTATTTGTTTTTGCAGCGGACGCCATGAGCAAAATTACCGCCTCCAAGACTGCGGCGACCATGTTGCGGGCCTCCATCATGCAACAGTCTTCAACCGACTCCCTTAACAAGGGGGCACCCTTGGTGGGCTTCGAACCTTTCACCCTCTTTTTGGAGTTGTGTTTATGCATATACTGACTCTTTTCTTCTTTTTTAGACGGGCGCTCCAAGAGCTTCTTCTTCCCAACAGCCGGACCCCAAGGCCCGGAGGACGACTGTTGCGAGCTCTCCTGGTTCTGCCAGGAAACATGCGGCGGCTGAGAAACAGCCGACCACTTCTTCTTAAACTCCAGCTGGGCCACCTAGAAGTATGAAATTGTCCTTGTAAATTTTAGACTTGCTCCCTTTTTTACTAGGTCTAATCCGTTTGTTTATGCTTGATGCAGCCGGCCCTCAGGAGCCTGACTTGGTCGAAGTGGCCAAGTCTATGATCAAGGCCGTACCTCCAGCTGAAAGGGAGGCGGTCAGGGGTGTCGGCACCCTTGACCTAGACGAGATTGCAGGGGTCCTTGCTGAGGTATACTTAGCATATTTTTGAGTATTTGAATTCCAGGACGCCTGTTTTCTTTTTTGTATGGAAACTGACGCCTGTTCCCCTTTTAACTTAGGCCCTGCTCCGAGTGAACGGCCTTCGGAAGCCGCTTGACCGGAAGAACAAAGAGGTAAAGGCTGCAAAAGCTATGGCCGCCTCTGACTGTGATAAGGCAATGTTTCAAATTGCCCAAAATAAAGTTCTGACAATTGATATTCTTTATTATCATGCGCAGGCTACCGCCGCTATCCGGGTTAGTTAGAGGCGGCCCAGAAGAGGAATAGCGAGCTGGAGGGGACCATCAACAACCTCAAAACCGAGTTGAGACCTCTTCGCCAAAAGATGTCCTCATACGAAACCTTGGAGAAATCCTTGGCGAGCGTAAAGGAACGCCTGGTGACACAGGAGAAGAGTCTTACTCAGGAGCTCTCGGAAAAGGCCGAGCAAGAAAAGAAAGAGCTGGTCTGGGAGATGATGGAAGACTCTGCTCAAATCCAGCGCATGACTTGGGGCCGCCTCTTCCCCAATGCCGACTTTGCCTCCTGGGAAAAAACGTACCACCAGTGTTCTGATAGATATAATCAAGAGATCTTGGCGGCTGCTGAGGAAGAGGCGTTGGAGGAGGAGGAGCAGCCGGTAGTGGCGCTTGCGCCGCTAGGGGGTAATGCATCGAAGAAGGATGCAGCTGAAGCCGAGTCCAGCAAAAAGAGTGCTGACCAGGCGGCAACTGCTAATATTGAAGATCTGCCCCCTTCATAAGCTTTATGTCTTCTTTCCCCGGCCTAAGTGCCGTTTGTTTGTATTTACCCGGCCAGGGGGCCGGGGCTCTGAATATTTTGCCGGTCTTTAATGACCGGCTTCCTTTTAATGAATATTTTTGTTTTGCTTCAAATTTGTTCAAGTATTGAATATTCTGATATCCAAATGTACACTATACCGACTGTTTTACATGGCCGATAGTTGCAGACAGGTACGGATAGTAAGTCACGCCGCCTATGCCCCTGGACAACTGGTTGTCTGTTTCCAGGCTAGACGATCAGTCGGCCATTTATCCAATCAGTATTCGAACCATTTTAAAGACTGGATTCCCTTTAGGCAGGCGGTTCTGTCATTTGTAAAA